TTTTTTTTGTGATGGCCAATTTAAGAGAACAGCATGTGGCTGTGAAATTTTGTTTCCTGCTCAGGAAAAATGCCACAGAAACTGTTGTGATGTTGAACACAGTGACAATGCTATGTAAAAACTCAAGTGTACTAGTGGTGTTCTTGTTTCAAAAAAGGTAAAATGTCGGTTAATCACAACCCTCATTCTGGATGTCCATCTCCTTCATGAACATCAACTCTTAATGCATTTGGAGTTTGTTTCATCAGGTCAGACTGTTAAGCAAGCTTTCTATTTAGAAGTTCTGAAAAAATTGTCTAACTGTGAGACAAAAAATGTCTGATTTGTGGCAGATGGGGGACAACTGGCTTTGTCACCACGACAATGCACCTGCCAACACAACCATCTCCATGTGCCAGTTTTTGGCAATAAACATCATGCCTCTCTTGCCCCATGCACCTTACTCGCCTGACCTCGCTCCGTGCGACGTCTGTTTTTTCTGCGAATGAAGAAGGACATGAAAGGACAGCGATTTGACGATGTAGAAGAGGTGAAGAAAAAATCGAGGGAGGTGCTGTCAGCTATCTAAACAGATGAGTTTGAAAAATATTTCCAAGAATGGAAATGCAGATTTCACAAATGTGTTAAGTGTAATGCAGACTACTTTGAAAGTGATAAGGTTGTTTTGTAAAAAGTTAAAATATATAGCTTTGCAAAAAATCCCGTTTGGGGGAGGTACCTCTTGATACAAACCTAATTTTAAACCATGCAGTATCCTTGTTCTGTTCCTACAACTGCCTTTTGATCCATGTATAGGTTCTGAATGAGCACAATGAAGTGTTCTGGAATTCCCATTCTTATCAAGTTTATACATAATTTGTTATGATCCACACAGTAGAATATCTTGGCATAAGCAATAAAACACAAGTAAGCGTCTTTCTGGGATTCTCTACTTTCAACCAAGATCTAGCTGAGAACAGCAACAATATCCCTAGTTCTACAACCTCTTCTCAATCAGACCTCTGGCTGTTCCTTATCAATGTACTGCTGCTATGTTTTGGATAATCTTCAGCAAGATTTTACTTTCATGTGATATCAATGATATCTATAATTTGAGCATTCTGTTGGGTCACCTTAGAGGGGGTACAAATATGAATCTCTTCTAGTCAGTTGGCCAAGTAACTGTCACCCAAATTTCCTGACCGGTAAGTGCTTCCAGTGCTTCATCAGCTTTTTGAAACATTTCAATTCCTGGAGCCTTGTTTTGGCTGATACATTCAGTGCAGCTTGAACCTCTGCCTTAAGTACCATTAATTCTTGCTCATATTGCTACCCCCTGAAATGGCAGAATGTCAACTAGTTCTTTTTGATACAGTGACTCTTTATTTTTACTATCTTGATATTTCCTGTATCATTAAATATTTTGCCTATTGAATCTTTCAATATTGCAACTTGAGACTGGAATTTTGTCTTGAGCTCCTTCTAGTTAAGATATGCTGAGCATGTTCTTAATTTTTTATTTTGTATATAAGAAAGAGGTTTATATATAAGAGCAATTGAATATTGAGAAAACGCCCCATTCCAGTCTAAGCCCATAAGTCCAGTATTAGCCCATATGTCCGATACCAGTCTGTAAATTCCTCTTCAGACTCACACAGCACATGCTATGACATGGATTGCAGGAAGATCACAGGCCAGTGGGTTGGAAGTCTTGTGAATCCAGTGGCATTGTAAGTATCTCAGCGCTGGTAGGGGTCTCTAAGTGGCTTCTCTGGCTCCAGAGGTCCAGTTGCATCAGGATAAGTCCGTGTGGCTTCTCCAGCTCCCAGGGCATAGCGTCATGTGTCCTGTCAGTGCATCTCTCTCAGGGAGTGAGCCGAGAGAAAGAGAATTCTTGATTTTCTAACTCTAGCTATTTGCACATTTTATTATAATACTCGTGTTGCCCTTTGAATTATTCTGTTCAGCTCTTAGACTTCATCCTTTCTTCCATTTGCTTTAACTACTCTATGATTAAGAGCAAGCCTCAGAATCTATTCTAACATCCATTTTGATCTTTACTTTCTTTCCTGTCTTTAATGATCTTTAGCTTTTTCATGAATGATGTTCTTGATGACCTCCCACAGCTCACCCAGTCTTTTGTCATAAGTGTTCAACGTATCAAATGTATCAAATCTGTTCTTGAAATTCAGGTGGGATGGTCATAATTTGAGTCTTGTGAACTTTATTGCTTCTACTGGAACTTACATACCAGCAATTGGTGGTCTGTTTCTCAGTCAGCTCCTGGCCCGGTTTTAGCTGCTGATGTTGAACTTTTCCATCATCTCATCCCACAGGTGTAGTCAGTGATTTATTTGTATTCTATCTGGAGTAGCCCACGTGTTGTGTTGTTGAAAAGTTATTTGCTTGGAGCAAGTCATTGGTCTTGCAAAAATCTCAGCCTTCATCCCTTGTCTTCAAGGCCATAGTTTCCAACTGCTGTTCCTTCCTCTTTGTTTCCACTTTTTGCATTCCAATCACCAGTAATTATCAATGCATCTTGATTGCATGTTTGATCAATTTCTGACTGAAGACATTTGTAGGATTCTCCAATTTCAATACTAGCTTTTGTGGCTGATGCACAAATTTGAATAATAGTTGTATTTATTGGGTTTCCGTGGATTCAGATAGATAAAATCTTACAACAGACTGCATTGTACTTCAAGATAGGCCTTGAAATATCCTTTTGATCATGAATGAAATGCCATTTCTCTTGATTGTTTCATTATATCCTTTGGCACTATCTCTGACAATGTTCTGCTTCTTTTCATGAGGCTTTCAGTATCTGATATTTTAATCTGTCCATAATGTTTTCTCTGACTAATTCCTCAGAAGTGGGAAGCCTATTCCTTTGTGATAGTCTCCCATTCATTAGGCCTTCAGTATCTGACAGTGTTTCAATTCTTTGCTTAAGGTTTTCAGTGGCTACCTTCTCCAAAGTGGAGAGCCTAGTCCTTCTTTGCATTCTGTTCTTAGTCTGGAAACTGCTGAAACCTGTTCACTTTGGGTTACGCTGATGGTATTGGAAATACCAGTGGCATTGCTTCCAGCATCATAGCAACACACAAGCCACCACAGTACAACAAACAGACAAGAGGTAGCCAGGCCTCCTTAGGGGGTGCTATACCAGCACAGCTCCTATTGCCTCCCCCTCAGTCTTCTCTTTTGTTACAACTTCAACAATTATAGTTTTTACAATCACAATTAGCCCTGTTAACAATTAACACTCACCTATAGCATTTGTATCAACATTTACCTCTACTCTCTCTTCTCCTGACCCAAGGGGAAAGGAGGAATCTTCTTTAGTGGGGTTCCTCTCATATTCCCCCCACCTTTTGAATTTAAACATATTCATGAAAGCATGTAAACCAGCCATTTCCTTGCTTTTATCTCCCTATATTTTAGATAGTCAATTTCTAACGTGTTTATCCATATCAAGTCATAACTCTGAGGAGATTAAGCATGTTTCTTGGTCTAAAGAATCTTTGGTTGTTATAATTCTGAGCATCAGCTTCCATATGCTAAGTCCAGTCTAGTCCAGGAGAAGCTATCAAACGGCCGCAGTCTATACCAACTCCTGGTGTCAAACATCTCTCTTCCACTTCTATCTTGGGCCAGTGCTCATTCAGTTGAGATTAACTCTAACTCATCTTTATCTCATTTAATCCGTAAACTAGCTAAGCTAAGTGGGTACCAGCCATAGACAGAAACTACCTAAACCACATTGCTTACAACTTACCCAGGAAATGTCAGTCAGCCTGGACAAGAGTAACAAAACAAGGTGAAGAATGCTAACACAATCCCCCCGTGGATCAGTGGGAGGCCAGCGAAGCCAGTGGTATTACTCTCAGATTTTGGCTTCTCTAAGTATGCCCTTGGTGCTAGGGTAGAATAGATCCTGCTCATTGTTGGGAAGATACATGAGTAGCTACATAAGCATTTTGTGTAGGTGAGGCCATGTGGGTTAAGTTGGGTGCTGCCAGCCACCTCTATGTGTACAGATAGGAGTGTACCAGGAAGGAGAGCCTTTTGCTTTTAATGTATGTAAACCTTAGCTTTGTTTTACCTGTATATGACCTTTAAATCATAAAGTGACTTTTCTTCCCCTAATCCACACACTGAATATTCCATATTTGTTCTCACAGGAAGTTGTTCAGCTGCCTTTAGATTTTGTGAAACAGCTTTGTTTAAAGATACAGACTGAAAGACCAGGTAAGAGTTTTTGAACCTTAAATTTGTTAACAATTTAAAATATGGTACCTGAAAAGTGACATTATCACCATGTTAAGTAGATGTGGTTTTCCTCAATTCTGTTGCCACGAGGATGCTTTCCAGAGATGCATTTAATGCATCAAACTTCATCACCAGGGGTAGAAGTTTAGGAAGCTCATAAATACAGCTTTGGGAATCACATAACCAGATTAGAACATAGAATAGATGACCAAGCATTAACTGATACAATTTCAATGGTTGTGCATGTGAGAGAGAAAGAATGAGCTGAAGGAATTGGAAGAGATATAGGTAGAGGAAGGCAAAGTAAAGCAGTGGCGTGGAAGGGTCAAAGGAAGTTATCATGGTCAACTTGAGCCATAACAGGGAGGCCCAGTGTGAGAAGTTGGCAGGAGTCTGCCTCCAGAAGCAGGATTCTTTGCTTGCCTGCATATCCCTTTGGAGGAAGCCAGGGAGATGTATGAACCTCTGTAGTGATTACCTTGCTGCTATCACCAAATACAGCCTTCCCACCATCCCCATGAGTTAGAGTTAATCTTTCCCCCAGTGGGGAATGTATTCATCCTGTGGACTTGCTGGTGCCTGAAATATTGGGAACCAGGTAAAAGAGTGTACTGTCAGAAATTGAAATCTTAACATGCAAGCCTTATTTAGGATGGAAATAACATCTTAAAAAAGGACAAACCACTAATCAGGTTTTATAAATGGCTAGAATCTAACATTCATTCCTGATTTGGTTAAGAAAAAGAAAGCAAAATGGGGTTTGGGACCCTGGGATCCTCAGGTTGAAGAGAGCAATGTGAAGCAGGTCATCCTAGTTGGAAAGGGCCCAGCAAGTGGGAGGAGGTTGCTGCCCATAGCCAACCAGGGTAGCGCTATGGCTCTGCCTTTTTCATCTGGATGAGGACATGCCGCAGGTGTAATCTTGGGCTCTCCCATCAATCAGCACGTGCTGCCCTCCACCATCATTTTCTTGTGTTGTTATTAGTTGCCATCAATTTTATTCCGATTCATGGCAACCCGATGTGTACAGAGTAGAACTGTTCTATAGGATTTTCAAGGCTGGGACTTTTCAAAGCAAATTTCCAAGCCTATCTTCTGCAGTACCCTTTTGGCTAGTAGACTACTTAGTAGTGACAAGAGTGGCTGTAATAATGAATTGTAATGAGCCTACTATGTGAAAAAGGAGGACATCTGACTTGTCCACAGTGCATTTTCTACCTGGGAATGTTGGTGTTGGATATTTGGAAGGAACCTTGCTTAAGGGGAATGTACAGACATTTTCTGAGTGTCTTGTTAGACTGATGGTGTCCTGAACTGTCGCCTCCTTCCTCTCCATGCTTCCTTTATTCAGAAAGTTGCAGGTTGGAGTCAGTCCCCAAGGCGGTCCTGACTTTTGACAATTTTTGATAAGTTTAGGCATCTACAAGACTATATACCTTCAGGATTAATAAGTGGCTAGAAGGACTCAACAGAACTCATTGAAAGCCATTATACTCATGGATATGGCTCATGGCAGTTTAAAGACACGGATTAAGATCAGCCAAGGCTTGAAGAAGGGCAAGGTCCAGAAGAGGTACCTATGTGGAACTCCCATTGTCTTCTCCCTGTGGAGCACTGACTACTCTGAGAAATGGCTTGTGACATAAAACATCACTCAGCAGGAAGGCTCTTCGAGTCCTGTCATGTGAATTTGGCTACCTGTTCATGCAACCAACCTCAGCTAATACCATGTGGCCCAAAGCCTGGGTAAACAAAGGCACTCCTTTCAGATAAGACATTTCCCAGCCTTAGCCCTCAGCCTACAGGAGCCAGAGGCAAGGCCAGCTCCTCGGTATGCTGGGTTGGTACTTTAGATGGCAGCAGAATTCCATTTTGTCTCCTGCACTGATCATCAGGTGGTCCCTGCACTTTTTTCCAGAATCTCGCTGTGACAAGGACCTGGACACACTCAGTGGTTATGCTATGTGCCTTCCTAACTTAACCAGACTTCAGACCCACCACTTTGTGGAGCACCGACCGATCCTCTGTGTAGAGATTAAGGTGACTTGGTGAAGTGGGAAATAATGTGGGTAAAGACGAAGAGAGTTCCTTGCTTATAAGCAGGTTTTCTTTTAACAGTCTTTGCTTCTCAGCTTAGTGTATGTTTTCCTTTAGAAACTATTCTGCATGTGGTGTCCTGGCCTTTCTCCACTGGATCCAACAGCCTTCTCTCGGCCTAGATGACCCTTAGCTTCCAGATATTTACCCCTGCCACGTGCACCTTGCAAGTGCTCTCCCTCTACTAGAAAGAAGTCAGCAAGTGAGCTACACCATCCTCGGACTTGGGAAACTGGAAGAAAGCTTAGCTAGATCGTGTCCTCTGCGTTTTCCTTAGGGTTCAAATCACCAGTTTCCATCCTGATCCTCCTCCTGTATGACATCTTGCTGCTGTGTTCCCTTTGCCAGCAGGTGACTGACACTGCATGTTTTGTTCCGGAAGCTTGGTTTGTGAGTCAGTCTATTGAACTAGGCAACAATCAATTCCTTTGTGGCTTGCTTAGAAGAGATTTCTGCAGAGGCACAAAAGTGTTTTTAACCCTTAGAGGTTCTAGTTTGTCATGGCTAGGAGCCCTGAAATGGGGATGACAAATACCATTGACTTCTACTCAATTGTGAGGGTAAGGGAGAATTTGTCAAAGTTAGCAGCTCCCTTGCTTGCTTTAGCTCTCTGCTGTCCCAAGTTGAAGGTGGCAGCTCAGGTATTCCCACGACACTCTCCGCCCCCCCCTCCCCCCCAACACCAGATAGATGTCCCAGGTCACTGCTTATCTACTTCACACTTCTGTGGCACCCATTTGTGGGTCACCCGGGTCCTGAGCACTCACCCTTATGATACTCTCGTGCAAACCGATGTCCAGCTTTCCCACCAAGAAGGTAAATGACTCAGTGTGCCAACACCGAGGAACCTTTGGCCTAGAACTTAATATGTGTTTAATGGTAAGACTCTATCTAACTTTTGAAAGGCACTTCTGTGATGTTCTGGAAGCAAAGCAACTATCAGATTGGCCCCTCCAATTTTATGTATTACTTGTCAAAGGGTACAGTGTCCTGCTTGGAGCTCTAAGCAAAATCCCACATGTTGAGGGAGCAGTGACCAGCTTCTGGAAACCAGGAGGGCTGGCTAGAATCACATCCCTTCCAGATTTTCAGATTACATTCTTTCACGGAGAGACAAAGCTCTGCATTTTACCTTTGCCAAGCGAACAGCAGCAATATGCACTCCCCCTCCACTTGCACCTGCAGGTGAAAGTTCTGGTCATGTAGTCTTTAGAAGGAGAAAGCGCTGGCTGTGTGACTTGAAGAGAAATGCATCAGTTTCCTGTAGACATTTATAAAGCTTGGGGGACAGTTATACCTACTGCTTGCCAACCTTCTGCTTTGCATTTCTTTATCTCAAAGCTTGTTGTGTGTGTTTTGAAAGGTAAGTGCTATCTTCCCATCTTAGTTATCTGTGCCACTACACAAATACTACAAGGGGGTGACTTTAACAAACAAATACATTTTCTCACAGTTTAGGAGATTACAAGTCATAATACACAGCCAAAATAAAACCAAAACAAAATTAAGAGATTCTGTTTCATGCCCATCAGAGATAAAAATCTCATGCACATCAGACTGGCAAAATCAAAACGTCATACTCTACCCAATGGTGGAGAGGAATTGAGCATCAGGTGCTCTCCTTTTACTTTGGAAAGAACTACAAATTGGTACAACCACTTAGAAAGCAATTTGGTAGTAAGTAGTGAAAATTAAAGCTTCCCTGTGTCCTAGAAATTTCACCTCTAAGTATGTACTCTAAAGTACTAACTGTAAGAGGGGAAAATGTCTATCAGTAGGAGAAATGGATGAGAGAGAATTGCAATAAAGTTCTATGCTACGACAGCTAAATTAAATGCACTTGATTATAATTTATCAACATGGCTAAGTCTCAGAAGCATACAGCTGAGTGAAAAAAAGTTGCAGAAGAATTTATATAAATGCAAAATTATCTTAATTTTTTTGTGCTCCTAAAGAAGTATGTGACTGACTTAAATAGAAATTTATTTTCTCACAGTTTAAAAGCCTAGAAGTCTGAACGCAAGATTGGCTTTAGGGGAAGGCTTTTCCTCTCTGCTCTAAAGGAAAATCCTTGTCTCTTTTGAACTTCCACTCTTGGACAGCCTTCGTGTGGTTTGGTAGCTCTCTTTTCTTCCCCGGTCTCTGTCTGCTCGCTTGCTTGTTTCATCTCTTTTGTATCTTAAAAAAAAGTTTGGCTTAAGACATAACCTATACTAACACTGCTTTATTACCATAAGGAAAGAACTCAGTTCCAAATGAGATTATCACCACAAGTATAACTCAAACCAGTTTACTGTCACGGCGTCATTTCTGCCGTATAATGGCCCTGGGGACAGAATATAACTGCTCCTGTGAGTTGCTGAGACTGTAGCTAACTCTCACTGGAGTAGAAAACCCCATCTTTCGCCCACAGCGTGGCTGGTGGTTAAGAATGTCCCTGCAGATATAACCACTACGCCACTGGGATCCCCGCCACAGATATTGGGGTTAAGATTTACAATACATGTTTAGTGGGAGGTAGGGGATGATACACGATTCAATCTACAACATTCTCTTAATTAGTTTTCCTTATTTGTTTACTTTGTAGCCAAAATGTGGATTTATTCCTTTCTCGAGCGATGTCACACATGAGATGAAGCATAAGGTGTGTCGTTATTGTATGCATCAGCACCTCAAGGTATGTGTGGAGAATAGCCAGCCCGGAGGGTTTTTTGAAAGCTCTTCAATCTATATGAATGAGTTGCTTAGGGTACTGGCCTTGAAGAGTAAAACAGAATGTATTTATCTATTACTTAGTTTTTATTTTAGAAGCAGTTTATGTTCCTTTTTTATTATTATTTTATGGGGGCTCTTATAACTCTTATCACAATCCATACATAGATACATTGTGTCAAGCACATTTGTACATATATTGTCATCATCTTTTTCAAAACATTTTCTTTCTACTTGAGCCCTTGGTATCAGCTCCTCATTTCCCCCCACCCCCCATGTCCCCTTGATAATTTGTAAATTTTTTTTTTCATGGCTTACACCGACCACTGTCTCCTTTCACCCACTTTCCTGCTGTCCATCCCCCCTGGGAGGAGGACCATACATCAGTTACTGTGATCGGTTCCCCCTTACACACACCCTTTCCCTTACCCTCCTAGTATCGCTGCTCCCCTTATTGATCCTGAGGGGTTTATCTATTTTGGATTCCCTGTGTTGTGAGCGCTTATCTCTACAAGTATACATGTTCTGGTCTATCCAGATTTGTAAGATAGAATTAGGGTCATGATCGTGGGTGGGTGGGGAAAGCATTAAAGAACTAGAGGAAGGTTGTATGTTTTGTCAGTGCTGTACTGCACCCTGACTGGCTCATCAATTCCTTGTGATCCTTCTGACAGGGGGTGTCCAATTGATTGCTGATGGGTTTTGGGTCTCCACTCTGCCCTCCTCCTCATTCCCTTTCATATTAGTTTATTAGTTTGTTTTGTTTTGGGTCTTTGCTGCCTGATACCTGTTCGCATTGACACCTCATGATCACACTGGTTATTTTCATTTTTTATTAGATTGAGAAACAATTCACATAGCACAAAATTTAACCTCTAAAAATATACATCTCAGTGGGTTTTAGTATTTTCTTTTTTTAAATCATTTTATTGGGAGCTCTTAAGCTCTTATCACAATCCATATAGACATACATTGTGTCAAGCACATTTGTACATATGTTGCCATCCTCATTTTCAAAACACTTTCTTTCTAATTGAGTCCTTGGTTTCAGTTCATTTTTCCCCTCCCTCTCCCACCCTCATAAACACTTGATAATTTATAAATTATTTTTTTCTTGTGTTACACTGACTACTGTCTCCCTTCACCTACTTTTCTGTTGTTCATCCCCCTAGTTCTCCCTTTCTCCTCCCACCTTCCCCTCCTGGTATTGCTACTCTCATTATTGGTCCTAAAGGGTTTATCTGTCCTGGATTCCCTGTGTTGTGAGCTCTTATCTGTACCAGTGTATATGCTCTGGTCTAGCCAGGTTTATAGAATTGAGGTCATGTTAGTGGGGTGGGGGGAGGAAGCATTAAAGAACTAGAGGAAAGTTGTATGTTTCATCAGTGCTATACTGCACCCTGACTGGCTCGTTTCTTCCTTGTGACCTTCTGTGAGGGGACGTCCAGTTGTCTACAGATGGGCTTTGGGTCTCCACTCCACCCTCATTCACATCAAGATGGTTTTTTTTGTTCAGGGTCTTTGATGCCCATTGGCACCTCATGATCACACAAGCAGGTGTACTTCTTCTATGTGGACTTTGTTGCTTCTCAATTAAATGGCCTTTTGTTTATCTTCAGTCCTTTAAGACACCAGATGCTGTATCTTTTGATAGCCAGGCACCATTAGCTTTTTTCACCACATTTGCTTGTGGACCCATTTTGTCTTCAGCAACCGTGTCAGGAGAGTGCGCATCACAGAATGCCAGTTTACTAGAATAAAGTGTTTGGATTTTAGTATTTTCATAAGGTATTCAAACAATGCACTATCTTGTTACCAACCCAGGTCTTGTTTGGTGCGGCTGTAGAAACAAAGACAGAGACTGGATGAAAATGGAAAGGGAAAGCGTTACTGTGGTTCATCAAGCAAGGAGCTAGCCAGGACTAGAGTCATGAAGGCAAGCGCTCCCAGAAGGAGATTTTCAGTTCTATATGCATATGCTGGAGCCCTAGCGGCATAGTGGTTGGGTGAGGCTGCAGTGCACATGGTCAGCAGTGGGAAACCACCAGCACCTCCTTGGGAGAAAGGCTGGACTTTCTACTCCCATGAGCACTTACAGTCTCAGAAACCCATAGGAGGTCACTATGAGTCAGCATTGACTCAATGGCAGCGAGTTTGGCGTTCATACCAGAAGTAAATTGAAGGAATTATGAATAGGTAACAGATTCACAAAGTCATGAATATGGATTGATGCGCAGGATTATGATTGTTGCCCGGGAAATGACTTGTCAGACTTATTGACTTTACATATTTTTTTTTCTTTTTTAACATTTTATTAGGGGCTCATACAACTGTTATCCCAATCCATACACACATCAATTGTGTAAAGCGCATTTGTA